AAGAAGGCCGCTGGGGCTACACTTCAGGGTTCTGTGCCCTCCCCACTCTGATTCCCCTCCAGGGATTCAGCGCCCCCTCCTTGAACTTTCTTCCCTCCCCTAAAACACAGGGGCACTATCCAAAGCTTGGAAATGAAATAACCTAAATCTAAGAATACATCCTTTTACACATTTGGAAGCAGGAAGATGGAGTAAAGATGTGGTTCCTTTTTATTTATTTATTTTAACCAAAGCAAATGTTTAAGAATCAATGCACAAAGTTGTTCATAGCACCATTGTTTCTAAAAGGAAAAAATTACAGGAAGAAAAGGGAAACACTCTTCATGTCCACCTGTATGGACATGGGATTCGTTTGATGAATTATGGCAGAGTTGGGCATTAAGTGTGATAGACTACAATGTACTGCATGAAAAGATGTCTATGAGGTGGTGTTAACGGAAAGATGCAGATTGCACAAGAAGGTGTTGAGAAAAATCCCTCCTACGTTTTAAAAATATCTGTATGCTCACAGCCTGAGCCCAGTGAGGCTGGAAGGAATCCAGCAAACAGATAATGACACCGATCCCTGGGGCTGGGAGAACAGGAGATTTTTACTTTCTACTTTGTCCAATTTTGAGCTATTGGACTTTTTTTTTTTTTAACAGCTGGCAGTATTAGTTTCATCAGCAAAAACAATAAAAATATTCCCATTCTGAAAATAAAATAACTATTCTAGATAGATGCCAAGTACTATTGGCCCACAGAGAAAAGTGATCAGGATAAAAATCACTTTGCCATAAAAGCACACCAGGAAAAAAAAAGAAAAAAAACAACACATTCTGAGCTTGGGAAGGAGGAAATACCAGGTAGGTATATGTTTCAAAGGCCTCAAACCCAAGCTACCAATGTTCCCTCCAGCACACAGCAAATTTCCCCCGTTCTCCACATTAGCCTAAACCCTCCCAGGTCAGTGCTTTCTGCAGATACTACTACTAAGAATAATGAGGAGGTGGCAGAGCTGATATTTATTGAGCACTTATTATTAGCCAGGCACTGTGCTAAGCACTTGATATGTATTCTTTTTGTCCTTATAACATCACTATTCCCTTTTGATAGATGAAGAAACTGAGGCCCAGCTCAAGGATCCAAACCCAGACAGTCTGATCCTAAAACCCGTGACTATAACCAGTGCTTTAACCACTCTTCTGGAAGCAAAGCCCTGTTGGAGCCCTTGATCGTTTAGGTCCATAGGAGATGGTTCCAGGCTCTGCCAATCTCCACCAACCCCTTCCTTCTTCCTCTCCACCCACGTTGGCCAGTGCCTTGTACGTACAGGAGACTGGGTCACCTCCAAAGGGATCCAAAGACAAATATGATGTGGTCTCTGTCCTCTCCTAGTTCACAGGGAGGAAGGAAAGAGAAGACTCAAGTTCTTAGACCAGAGGCTGACCATGTTGGCCTTGGGGGAGTGCCAGGAGGGAGGAGAAGGCAGGGCTGCCAGGCTTCCCTTCATTGCAGCATCCTGAGGCAACCTTCTGGGCATGCGACTCTCCAGGAGCTGGCCTACAGCTGGCATGGTGGCTGGCCACTCCCAGCCTCTCTCGGGGGTCTCCCACTCACATCTGCCAAGCCCCATGCTGTGCCATGGCAGGTCCCCCAAGGACAACACAAGGATCACTGATTGGGGTGACCCTGAACGTTCGTGTTGGTGGATGAGCACCAACTCACTGCTGTGCTGGTCCAGAGTATGGGAGAAGGGTCCCCAAGCCAGAGAGACCATGCCCCAGCCCCCAAAGTCCTCATTGGATCTTGCATGGACACCATTCCTGCCTTCCAAATCAGTACGCACCCACACAGAATGTAAATTGGTGCAACTTCTTTGGAGAACAGACAGTATTTACTAAAGCTGAACTTACGTAGCTTATGACCCAGCAATCCCACTCCTGGTTGCCCAGTGGAAATGAGTGTTTGTGTCCACCAAAAGGTATGTATAAGAACATCAGTAGCAGCTTTATTGATCATAGCCCAAAACTGAACGGTCTAAATGTCTGTCAATAGAAGGATGACCATGCTAGCATTTGATCACACGAGAGAATACCACACAACGAGAGAGAGCGAACTACTTCACTCAACAAGGCCAAAAAGCTGAGTGAAATAAGATAGACACAAAGAATACATGCTGTGTGATGCTATTTCTGCAGGTAAATGAGTCTGTGGCTGCTGTGGGATGGGTATTGACCAGAAGGGGGCACAAAGGAGTGTCTATGGTTCCAGAAATGTTCCATGCCTTGGTCTGGGTGGGGTTTATGTGGACATACGTAGAAGTTCCATCATCCTGTATATTGGAGATATGTGAAGTTTGCAATTTTTAAGTAATATTGCAAAAAAAAAAAGTTTTAAAAATTTTAACCACACAGAGATTACAATCAGGTCAACTTCTCTAGGCCTCCAGGTAAGAACTGGTTAGTTGGAGTGGTAGAATTATGAAGGGATGCTTCCTTTTGTTAGAGCTCAATTAAGGTCATATATATTGGTGTGAAAAATAATTTGGCTTGTAAAAAAACATTTAGAATTCAAACAGACTATTCAAACCACACACGAGAGGCCTCAAAACTCCTAAGAAATTATAGTTATAGAACCAGACACCAAAAAGAAGCTCTAAAGGGCTAAACTGTTCCTCCTTCCTCCCAACCTTTGGCAGTGGGGTCCCTCTGACCTCCTGACAACCTTTGCCCTCTTGCTCTCCCCTCATCCCCCAGCCCCTGGGGGGTGCTTGGACTTGGCCCGGTCCCTGGAGCTGCTCATATTCCTCATGAGCCATGGGAGCTGCCCCCTTACTCTGGGCACATTCCCACCCACCCCTCTAACAGGCACCCTCACCATCTACCCCCACCAACCTCGGCGGGTGCATCTCTCTATCACAGCCTACCCCAAAGAGCCACCCTCCAGTGACTCGCACCTTTCCGAGGCTCCCCGAGTAAAGACAGGCCCTCTCATACTCCCCGTGTGGCTTCCCCACTGCCTGAAATGTGTTTTCCCAATTCTTTACTTCAAGGACTCATTCTCATCCTTCAAGACACGATGCAATGGTGTCCATTCCCACAATGGCTTTCCTGGCTCCCCTGTGTAGGCTTCTTCCCCTCACTCTTCTCTCTTCCCACTTCTCTTGGTTCATTATAGCCCTTGCCATGAGGAACTGCAGTTTATCTCTTCACCTGTCAGTCTCGTTCCACTAGAGAGGAGCACCTCAGTGATAATACCTGTCATTGCCTGAGAACTTGCTATGTGCCAGGCACCAGGCTAGCCCATTACCCTGGGACTTGATCCTCCCAAACCCCTGTGGCATGAGGGATGGTTTCATCCCCATTTTGCAGATAGGAAAACTGAACCTTGGAGATGATAAAGAGCTTGCCCAGGTCTAAACCGTGTCTGCCTGGCAGGAATGGTCTCCCTGAAGGCAGGGGTCCCATCTTACTCCTCTTTTTCCAGCACTGCACTTGGTCACGACAGGTGCCCCAAAAAAGGGTACAAAGCTCAGTTACGCAAGAGCAATACGTCCTGGAGATCTGCCACACCACCCTCAGCCTATAGTTTATAATACTATTTGTGCACTTAAAAATTTGTTAAGAGAGCAAAGCTTTTGCGTTCTTAGCACAGTAAGGTTTTTTTGTGTGTTTGTTTTGTTTTTTAAGATTTTATTTATTTATTTGAGAGAGAGAGAATGAGAGAGAGAGCATGAGA